GGAAACGGATGTGCTTATCTGCGACGAGGCCATCGGATCAAGTCGCCCTCCACCATCTCGCATCGGGTAAGCAAGCGCGGGTGGGTGTGGTGGTGGTGTGGAGTGAGGTGGGGTGGGGGGATTATTGTTGAGTAAACAGATGTGCTGATCTGCGACGAAGGCCATCGGATCAAATCTCCCTCCACCATCTTGCAACGGGTGAGTGTGCCGTGTTTGTACCTGTGTGACACATTTTGGTTTATCTTTTATTGTATCCTGATATGGCTTCAATTATAAGCTTGCAAACATAAGACACATGTGTAGAAAAGTAGACTTGATGTGCATAGCTGTAAGATGCACAAGTTGGAGATGGTAAAGATAGGTTCCAAGAGGAGCCCTAGAAAGTGTAAGACAAAAAAGTAAATAAAGATGACAAAGACATTAGGCTAAGTAGGCCCAGATTGTGAAGAAGAGAGAGATGGAGAAGTGCTGGGCGACTTGGGCTGGTCCAGGTGAGGAGAATGGCACCCAAGAGGCTTGGGGTGCCCAATTGGGTGCTCAAGTCGCCCATAGTCAAGGTGGGGACGTGAGGAACCCTCAAAGTGGGCCTGGAAGCGCCCCCACTAGTGGAACCGCGATTCCACAAGTTGGATTCGTGGTTCCACAAGCTGGAACCGCGTTTTCATGGTTGAGAAACGTGGGTCCAGGTTGGAGTCGCGTCCCAAATGTTGGGATGCGTGGTGAGGTACCCCAATTCGGATTTTGGGGTGCCTAGCCTCTGATAAAATCACTTGGGGGGCACCCTATTCCTAATATGACCCAACCACTAATGTCTACACCTAATATAATGTAACACATTACACATAACAGAGAAATGTACTAAGACTACATCCCAGATAAAAGCCTAAAACAGATCCTCAACAACACCCCCCCTTAGGGTGACACCAAGGGAGAGTCTTGGGAAGAAGAGGCAGGGCGTAGGCCAATGCAGGACCGGAGACGCTGAAAAGTGTCACGGGAAAGAGGCTTGGTACCGAGATCAGCAAGGTTGGCATGAGTAGGGACATAGTGCAGTGAGATATGGCCCTTGTCAACGTGATCACGGAGGAAATGATGGCGGATGTCAATGTGCTTGGCACGGGCATGGAAGACACCAGCGTCCTTGGCCAAGACAATGGCGCTTGTGTTGTCACAGATCAAAGGGGTGGGACCAGTGGGGGGAAGTCCAAGGGAGGTGAGGAGAGTGCGGAGCCAAAGAGCTTCATGGGCTGCCGCACCAAGCGCATAGTATTCGGCCTCACAGGAGGACGTGGCCACCACACATTGCCTCTTGGATTGCCAGGAGATGAGGGAAGGACCAAGAAAAAAGAGATAGGCCGTGAGGGAACGGCGATCCTCACTTTCGGAGGCCCATGAAGCATCACAGTAGCCGAGGAGGTGGAGGGAGGAGGGATTGCCACCAAGCAGTAAACCATGGGAAGATGTTCCCTTGAGGTAGCGGAGAACACGTTTGGCAGCCAGCCAATGAGGGTCGGACCATGAGTGGAGGTGACGGGAGAGAAGGCCAGTGGAGTGGGCGATGTCAGGACGAGTAGCGACCATGGCGTACATGAGAGAGCCAACCAAGGAGGGATATGGGACGGTTTGAGATGGCGGTGAAGAGGGGTGGGAAGGGAGGAGGAGCTTAGAGTCCATGGGGGTATGGCTGGGGTTGGAATGGGAGAGCGAATAGGTGGATAGGAGCGCAGCAATAAATTTGGACTGGTGGGCATGGAGAGTGCGGGAAGAGCGGTCGCGGTCTAGGTGGAGGCCGAGGTAATAGGTGAGGGGGCCGAGGTCACGGAGTTTAAAGCGACTGGCCAGAGACGTCTTGAAGGTGGTAAGGGGTGCAAGAGTGGTAGATAGGATGATGAGGTCGTCCACGTAGACAAGGACGAAGAAGAAGTGGGATGGATGAGGGAGGAGAGGTGAAGAGGAGGCGGCGATGAAGAGGCCAGGGTCGGCGTCGGAGGTGTGAAGGCCAAAGGAGAGGAGCTCCTCTTTCAGCTTTTTGTACCAGCAGCGGGGCGCTTGTTTGAGGCCATATAGGGGCTTGTGCAGCAAACAAACTTGAGGAGAGCCATCAGGAGCAGGAGCTCAAAGCCGGGGGGTTGAGTCATGTAGATGAGCTCGTCAAGATCGCCGTTGAGAAAGGCATTGGAGATGTCGAGCTGATGCATCTCAAGATCAAGAGCGGCAGCAAGGGTGAGGAGCAAGCGGAGCGTGGCAAAGCGAATGGTAGGTGCAAAAGTCTCTGTGTAGTCGATGCCTTCACGTTGCTTGAAGCCTTTGACCACCAAGCGAGCCTTATAACGCTCAATGGACCCATCGGGGTTTTCTTTGACCTTGAACACCCACTTGCAAGGTATGGGGGTGCAGCCGGGTGGCGTGGGCACAATGCTGTAAGTGTTGTTGGCGAGGAGAGCAGCGATTTCGGCATCAGCAGCGGCTAGCCAGTGGGGAGCAGCAGGGCAATAACGGGCGGCTATGATGGTAGCGGGCTCGTAGTGGGAATGAAGGGCTATGTGTGCAAAATCGTGAAGGAAATGGGTGGACGCGCGATCTTCAGCAAGGATGGTTCGAGAGGAAGGATCGGGAAAGGTGAGGTGAAAGTCTTGGGCGTGATGGAAGATAAGGAAAGGGAAGGGGTGAGGAAGAAGGTGGAGAGGCGGGCTGGAGGAAGGATGGAAGCGTGTAAGGCTGAAGGGGGGGTGGGGAGGGCAGGGAAGGGAGATGCAGCGGGAGTGGAAGTGGGTGAGATAGCTCCGGGAGGTGGAGGAGGCGGGTGCAAGGTGGCAGGGGTGATGGAAGTGGTAGGCTGGGAAGACGGGTGAAGGGGAAAAGATATGGTGGTGGAGTGGGGCGGAGGGTGGGACGGTTGTGGAGAAGGAGGTGGTGAAGGGGATGTTTCAAGGAAAGTGACATCGCGGGAGTAGACCACGCGGCGAAGGGAAGGGACGTAAATGCGATACGCTTTGTAACCGTCAAGGACTCCATAGCCAAGGAAGACGCCCGCGGTGCTACGGTCATGTAATTTAGAAGGCCGCTGAAGAGAAGGTAGAAGCACAGAAACGGGGCAGCCAAACACGCGAAAGTGCGTGACATCCGGCCGCTGACCCGTCCACAGCTCCATAGGGGTGACGGTACGAGGGAGCGAACGGGAGGGAGAGTGATTCCGAATGTAGGCAGCGGTGAGGGCCGCTTCTCCCCACCAACCACGAGGAAGGCCGCTGTCATGTAGCATGCACCGCACCATGTCCAGGATGGTGCGGTTCAGCCGCTCCGCGACGCCATTCTGCTGCGGAGTATATGGGGCTGAAACCCGCCGGGTGATGCCATGCGAATCGAGGAAGGTCTGAAAAGCTGTGGAAAGATACTCCGGGGCACCATCTGATTGCAACGCCTTGAGGCGCGTGTTACGTTGGCGTTCAACAGTAGCGAGATAGCGCTGAAAGGTGGAGAGGACGGCAGAGCGCGATTTAAGGAGGTAGATGGTGGTAAAGCGGCTGAAGTCGTCAATGAAGGTGAGGATATAGGTGGCGCCGCCAAAGGTGGTGCCAATGGGAAAGGGGCCAGCGACATCCGTGTGAACGAGGTCAAGCGGGGCAGAGAGGAGGAGATGGAAGGTGGGAACGGTTGGCGAGTCTGCTTCCCACGAAGGCACGAAGTGCAATTGGAAGGGAGGGAACCCTGGAGTTGGAGACCGCTGACCATCCGTTCAGAGTGAAGTTGCTGCAAGCTGGGGCCGTTGAGATGCCCAAAGCGGCGATGCCAAAGGAGAGTAGCGGCAGCAGAGCACGATGCTGGAACAAGTGGAAACGGGGTCGACACAGTAGAAGCCGGAGCTTGCGGGGTTAAGGCAGCAGGGCTGAGACTGAGAGAAATGAAGAACAACTTCATATCCTCGTAGGCAACAGCAAGAAGGGTGGACCCCTTGAACAGTTGGGCTGGAGCATGAAGGGGAAAGTGGGTGGTGAGACCCTCTTCCTTTAGCTTGCGTACGGAGATGATGTTGTGAATGGTTTGAGGAATATAGAGGACATCGTGGAGGTAACAGGATGCGTATGGTTCTCGTGACGAGCATAGAGGATGATATCACCAATGCCTTGGGCAAGATACTGTTCACCGCCGCCAAATCAACGCCACTACCAGGGACGGCCGGTGGAGGGAAGAGAACAGATGTGGATTAGCATAGATGGGAAAGCGCCAGAGTCAAGGAGCCAGGAGGAGGGGAGGAGGAATGGGAGCTGGTGAAGGCGGAGGCTAGAGGCGCTGAAACATAATGGAGAAAAGGAAGAGCAGGAGGGAGAGGAGCACAAAGAGCGAGGGAAGGAATGGGAGTGATGGCAGCCAAGATCCTCAACAACAACATGCACCTTGCAAATACAAGACACATGCACATCACGTGTGGTTGCAACGTGTGTACAGTTCGTTATTTTACCTACTAGTTCTAGAAGTTGTACGGGGGAAAAGTACAAGTAGAAGCTAGTTGGCCACCATCCAATTTTGTAAAGTTATACTCAACCAAGTAGGTTGAGTTGGAACCCAACCAAACATGGTTTGGTAGGCGCACGGTGGAAGGTGCATGAAGCGAAGCAGTTTCCGAACCAGGAGGTTGGACACGGGAAGTGTGGGAACCCAGATAGGGAAGAAAGGCAGCGTGCTCACAGAGGAAGGGAGCGTCTTTGGTGAAGTTGTCGGCCAGGTTATCAGTTGTGGTGATTTCGTGACCACAAGATGGCATGGCCCTATTGCACAAGCTCGCGGACAGACAGTTCAGTGTTCTTTGAACGGCCATGGAAGGAATGTACCCTTGGTGAAGTGAGGTGGATGTGCTCGTGTTGTCACAGCAAATGGTGGGATAGCGGCTCCCAGCTTGCAACATAGAGCAAGCGGCCTTCTGGGCAGCCATGGTCGCAACATATAGCTCAGCCTTAAACGAGGAACAGCACGGCAAAGGAGCGCGTGGAACGCCCACATTTGGAAGAGGGGGGATTGGGGCAGGTTTGTCTCCACAGCGAGCGGGCTCGGCGCTCGGGGGGTTGAGCAAGACAATGGCAGAAGAGAGGCAGTGGTCATTGATGATGGTCGAACTGAGCACAACAGCAATGTTATGGGTGAAGGAGTGGCTGTTCACAGTTGTCATAGGTCCAGGTTTTAGCGAAAGCTTGAATGAATGCTTGATTTATAATTGTCTGAATACAAGCAAGGACACAATCATATTTATACCTATGTTGGAATATACGCACAGAAGGCTTTGCGTATTGCGTATATACGCTTGCGAATATACGCAATACGCTGATACGCTTGGAATACGCGATACGCGATACCCGGGCTGCCCGGCGAAAAAAAAAACTTATATTTTTTTTTTCCGCGACTTCGCGACGTCGCGGTTTTTCGCCAATTCTTTTTTTGCCATAGCCCAGCCTGCTCTGTACGTGATTGAAAGCCATCCCGTGTTTGCCGTTCCCCATTTCCGTCCAAATCTCAGCTCTGAAGCGAAACGGTGGTGTGCTTAGCTAGGTGGCGGCGATTGCGCGAGTTACGGTGCTTGTTAGTCTTCTACCAAAGTGATGGGGGAGATGATGGGGGGGTCGAGCATTTGTGAGGAAAGATTGGAGTTTGTAGATGGGTGGGAGTTCAGTGCGGTGAAAGGAGGGAGTTGGTTGGCTGGAAGCCAATTGACTTTGTAGACGGGGGGTTGAGTGCGGTGAAAGGGAGGGAATTGGCAGGTCAAAATTCGACCCCTCAGAAAATGCCTCTCATTTGAGAGTCACGTTTTCAGAAACCCTAGCTAGCCGCTACCATCATGGCTTCCTTGCTGCCCCCTGGTTTTGTTACCCTGCCCGGGCAAACCTTTTTTCCTGCCCGGGCATGCGTATTCCTGCCGTATTGGACCCCAAATCCAAGCGTATAGCGTATATACGCAAGCGTATATACGCTAGCATATAAAACGCAGTACGCGTATTTCCAACATAGATTTATACCTACGAGAATTCTAGAAAAAGGTAAATTACACCTTCTAAGAGAGTTTTAAAGGTGAGTGGAATCGTCGATAGAAACACCATCTAGAAGCACGGTAGGGATTTGAGAGATACGGTGGCGGTGACGGAACACTCAACTCCACGCAATAAAAAATGTATTACGCAATGAAAGTCCAAAACACTCCGTAACACATGTGATATGTAATATATCAATGTGTAGGAAAGAGTGTAGGGATTTTCAAGGGAAAAAAGACATACAAAATAATACACAATCGATAGCAAATATGAAAATGGATGTGCGAAACGATTCGGCAAGCCTCATCCTCTCACACTTCCCCCTCAAAACTGGGTAGACACTGAAAGCGCTCAATTTTCCAGCAAACACTGAAGGTTGTGAGGCTCAAAGTAGTCAGAGAAACTCAAGCCAACAAAGTTGTGCTTGAACAGCAACTCCTGTACTTTAGTCCACACACTCGTGAGTCTGTTCGAGTGCAGGTAGCAGGTATACCACGATGAAGTATTGGGACATGTGATGCTCCAACTCAAACTCTGCAGAGTAGTATAGCGAATGGTGATAAGTCTGTGCCTGAGTTGCGGTCAGTAGAATTCAGTTGCACTGTAACATGTTGTGATAACTGCTTCATGTGGCCAAGAAACCACCAAGCATTCGAAGTTGACTTAGCAGTCGTGTAACGGTCCATATACTGTAGTAACACTATAATTGTTGCGTGCCGTTGCAAAGAGACTGGTTGCCAAATGATTGTAGTGGCGACGTCACCATGCTCGTCGATAGAGCACAAATGCATTATCACAGCTGAGGAAATATGGGTATTTTACGCTCAACCCATTTGATTCCTTTTTCATTTTCAATGGGTCAGTTGATGACGTTGTCGGCGACTCCAGTGTTTTCCTTCTGTCGTTTTGAGGTAACCGCTTCATTGATGCTAATGTCATTTCAGCTATTTAGTATGGATGTTGAATATGCTCCAGTTTTGCTCGTATTGGTGTCATAAGAGTAACGCGGATTTCTCTATTCATAGTGGCCTCGCGCTCCGGCACGCCTATCAGCTTCCATGGAGGGGTGCTAGTGATGGATTGATTGGTGATGCAGGTTTTATGACTCACTTGAATGTCACTGGACCATGAGAACTCGAAGATCATCGTAGTCCTCCCATCCTCATAATATCTCATTCTCTGAGCTCCTGAGAGCATGTGGCATAACCACGTTGGTCTAGGATAGTGGTATCGTCATCCCACTAGTTGGAAATCGCAGATGTAGTGCCAGGCCGGGTCTTGAAATCATGCTGGAATAAGTTCCAGTGCCATCTCCCTTGTGCAGAGGAATATCCATCAGGATTGGTGTTGCTGTAGTTGTCTGCTGCGGCGGCGCGCGGAGGCTATAGACACTCGCGTGTTGTGCTCTCAAACTCAATTCACAACGCCGTTTGCCAGTCCGAGATAGGTTGTGGGGCTTACTTCAAGAGGGCGTATTTTCCTTGTTTCAAGTGCTCGTCTACTGCCTTTATGGCTTTGTTACAATACAATGTACTATACTTATCCCCTGTCAAATTTATCTTCTATTTCTCGTCCGCCATCTCCTAAAACGGACTGCACCACTTTCACAACGTGGCGGCGCCTGCTGGTGAAGGTCACACACACCGCGTGTGAAGAGCACATGGCTGATGCAATCAGATCTTCTGCCTCTCTCCCTCCCTTTCCTTACTCGTGCTGCTGGCGGGGACATGACTTATCCTTGTGTTTGCTAACTGCCGCCCAGTTTCATTCTTGTTCGTCTCTCGCCAGGCCCTGGATCGTCTGCACTTGCGGAGGCGCCTGCTGCTGACGGGCACAGCTGACTTCTGCTTGTATTTCGTCGCTGTTTCTGACTCCTCCTTTGTGCTCGCTCGCCAGGCCCTGGACCGCCTGCAGCTGTGGGACCTGGTTGGCGTGCTTCTTCCTTCATCGCCCTTCTTCTCCTGCCACCCCTTCCCTCCCTTGCAGGCCCTGGACCGCCTGCACACTCGCCGTCGCCTGCTACTCACGGGCACCGCCGCTGCAGAACTCAACGCTGGAGCTGTGGGACCTGGCGTGCTTCGTGCAGCGCCCCCGCATGCACCAAGCCGTCTTTGGAATGGGCAGGGGGTGGGCAAAGGGAGAGGGGAGGGGAGGAAAACACAGCATGGGGGGATGGGGATGGGCGAGGGAAGGGAATGCAACAGAGGAGGAGTGATCAAAATGGCCAGGCCCGATAGAAGCGGTTTTGAGGCATGTTAAAACGGTGCTTAGGGGTGGAAGGAAGGCATTGGGTGGTGGTTGTGAGGTGGGGGAAGTGGAGGCAGGGGGGAGGATGAGGGAGTGTCAGAGGAGGAGGATGATGGTGGTGAGGGGGAGAGGAAGAGGAGGAAGAAGGAGAAGAGGAGGAAGAGGAAGGGGAGATGGAGGAGGGGGGTGAAGGCGGGTATGGATACTTGAGCAAGAGGGAGAGAGGGAAGAGGCGCGAGCTCGAGCTGAGTTCGTACGGATCTTTGATGTGCCGCTGAAGAAAGGGAGAACGAAGGATAGGGGGGGGAGAAGGGTGCGGGGGGGCAAGGGAAGGTGGCAAGAGGAGGAGCAGGAGGGAGAACGATTTAGTGATGGCGGAGGATGATGAAGAGGAGGGGAATGTGGGAGATGAGGAGGAAGGGAGGGAGGGAGACGGGGAGGAAGGGAAGGAGGGAGAGCGTGGGGAAGGGAAGGAGTGGGCATCGCCCAAGGAGAGGAGTGGGTACGAGGGTGTGGCAGGGTCAGAGGAGTTTCCGCTGGTGAAGGTGCAGGGGCTGAAGGCGCTCATGTTCGACCTTGTGCAGACAGACGGGCAACGTGCTGCAGGGCCGCTGAGAGGTAGGGGTTTAAGGCGCCTCATGTAAGTGCAAGATGCGTGCTGCAGGGCGGGCTGACAGGCAGAGTTTTAGGCGCCGATTGGTAAGGTGCAAGATGCGTGCTGCAGGGCGGGCTGACAGGCAGAGTTTTAGCGCCGATTGTAAGGTGCAAGATGCGTGCTGCAGGCGGGCTGACTGGCAGAGTTTTAGGCGCCGAGTGTAAGGTGCGAGATGCGTGCTGCAGAACAAGTTGAGGAGGTGCAAGGTGCGTGTTGCAGGGCAGGCTGAGAGGTAGGGGTTTAGGACATAGGTTGTTAAAGGTTATATGGCGAAGGGCAGGCTGAAAGGTATGCGTATAGTGTGAACTCACAAGCACCCCTGGTTTGGATGTAAGGAAGGTCTTGTGGTCATTGTGGCTTTCCATGAAGTGGTTTTGGATCTGGGTTATAGCGCAGCATGGAACGAGTTTTGAGACGTCTCAAAACACTAGGGAAGAAATAGGGCGAGCAAGGGATGCAAAGGATGTGTGGTGTGCTGTAATTTGGCAGTGACACTTGGCTTTGGTGTGTGAGGAGGTGGGTTGAATGTTTATTGAATTTCCACGCGTTTGCCATGTATTTGTCACAGGATCGAAACGTGTCGAGGAAAATTTGCACTATCGAAAAATATTAGGGCGCTTTTATATTTCTAGAGTACAACAGGGAATCGGGTTTATCTTATTTTAATGGAATAGACGCTTCTAGAGAGTAGAATCACCCTGCGTATAGCCATGCGAGGCTATTGATTTGAAGGGATTGCGACAGGATTACGCTAGAGAGCGTTAGCCAGTACATCCCGAGCCTAGTCGGCGATATAAATATAATAAAAGGATAACCCAAAGGATAATGGAGAATGAAGAATTGGAAACCAAATATGATGAGATAAAGATTAAATGAATTATGATAAAAAAAGAGGATAAGATGGATAAGAAATCTAGAAAAGAGAGAGAAAGTGTAACGGGGTCATACTCTCACATAGTTGGCGTGGCATGTTCGTTCCTTATGTGTGCCTTTGTTATGTTTCTTTGTCTCTTTGTCTCTTTTATCCACCAGTGCTGCTATCTTTCTCCGTGATGACTTGTAGTATCCATGCGACCATCACTTGTCTCTCCAGCCAGACCTAGTGGACGCCACCCGTCTCCTGCACCCCACACCTCTTCTCCTACCGTACCTTGTCTCTTCCTTCCCTACACCCACACCTTTGTCTCTTATCGTACCTTCACTCTTTCCGCCACCCCTTGTCTTTTCTCCCTTGTCCCTTTCCAGACCTAGTGGACGTCACTCTTCTCCTGCACCCCACGCCTCTCCAGCTCGCGATCCTCAAAGCCTTCTACTCCGCCTCAGTGCAGCCCCGCCTAGCCCAGCAGCAGCAGCAGCAGCAGTCATTGCGACACAACATCAACAACATCAACACCAGCAGCAGCGCTAGCAGCGCGGAGTGGCAGCTGTCGATGATAGACCTCAAGATAGTGGGCAGCCTATGCGTGCATCCATGTGCCTTCGCCTGGAAGCTCAACCGCGGCATCCGGGGCATGCCGCAAGCGATGCACGCCATGCGCTCCTTCCAGCCCTCAGCGCTGTGTGCCTCTGGCAGGGTAGGCTTAGAAGGGCAGGGCGCTTTAGGTGGATCGCCTCCCAAAGCAAGTAGCGACAAAATGGGTGCTGGCAAGGGGATGAATGGCGAGCCGCAGTTTTTGGAGCGCAACAGGGAGGCGTTGAGTGCGATGTGGGGTGCTATAGAGCGGCAGCAGGGCGCGGAGGTGTCACCGAAGCTGGCGGCGATGGTGGCGATTGTGCGGCAAGCAGTGCGCCTGGGGGAGAAGGTGGTGGTGTTTGCCGAGGAGCACGTGCACTTGGACCTGGTGGTGGGGTTGCTATGCCATGCCATGTGAGTGCGTGCTTTGGAGTTGGATGCATACGCAATGCGTGTGGGGCGGGTAGTGAAGGAATTAGCTTAGAGGAGAAAGGATTGTTTGAGTAGGGAGCCAAGAGGCTCTATTGTACAAACAAGGAGCAAGGAAGAGATGGAAGGGAAGGTCTCTCATTGGCCATTATGTGGACCAATGGGAGAGGTAGCTTGGAGGACAAGCAACCACAAAGTGTGGTGCTCTCCGATTGGCCACAATGTGGGCCAATGGGAGAGGTTGCTTGGAAGGTAAGCAACCACAATGTGTGGTGCTTGGTGATTGGTTGGGTCTTAGGACCAAGGACCATTTGGTTGGAACAGTGCCAACCAAATGTCTGGGACCAAATCCAATCTTGACCAACCCAAATGTGGGGTTGGTCAACCCAACCAACAACCCCAAATAAATATAATGACCACCCCTCCTAATCTAGGCATGCATGTTGTATAGATATATATTTTACAATAGGTAGTGCACATGGGGGAGAAGGTGGTGGTGTTTGCTGAGGAGCACATGCACCTGGACCTCGTGGTGGGGTCGCTCTGCCATGCCATATGAGTGCCAATAGTGGAGATGGAGTACAGGGTGTGGCAGGTCGTATGTGCGCATGGGGGAAAGGTGGTGTTTGCCGAGGAGCATGTTCACTTGGACCCGATGGTGGGATCTAATTGCCACGCCATGTATGTGAGTGTGTGTTTAGAGATGGAATACAGAACATGCCAGGCAGGTCTTTGTGCACTCAAGGCAGAAGGTGGTGGTGTTTGCGGAGGAGCACGTGCACCTGGACCTGGTGGTAGGGTCTCATAATGCCATGCCGTGTGAGTTCAGCGGAGGGATATGATATGCAATACACACAGGATGTGAGGGCAGGTGCGCATGGGGGAGAAGGTGGTGATGTTTGCAGAGGAGCACGTGCACCTGGACGTGGTGGTGGGGTCTCTGTGCCATGCCATGTTTGTTTTTGAGGCGCCTCAAAAGCCGTGCCATGCCATGTTCTGTTTTGACTCTGGAGGGGCACCTGTCCTTGTCGTGGAGGGGTGTATCTGCCATGCCATGTGAGTGCACACTTGCCCGGAGGTGGGATGGTTCACAGAGGACTGCTTTTGAGTCGGCTCAAAAGCTCAAAAGCTCAAAAGCTCAAAAGCTCAAAAGCTCAAAAGCTCAAAAGCTCAAAAGCTCAAAAGCTCAAAAGCTCAAAAGCTCAAAAGCTGAGTGCATGCTTGCCGCCGGGAGGTGGGATGGTTTGCAGAGGAGCTCGCATGGTAGAAGGGGCGGTGGTGTTTGCAGAGGAGCTCGCATGGTAGAAGGGGCGGTGGTGTTTGCAGGGGAACACATTCGCCTGGACCTCTCTCAGGGGTGAATCTTCTCTTCCATGGGAGTGCTTGCTTGCCAGGAGGTGGGATACCGGACATGTCAGGTTCTATGTGCGCATGGGGGAGAAGGCTGTGGTTGTGTTTTATCTGTCATGCCATGCCATGCCCTTTCTCTCTGCCTCTCTTTCTTGCTCTCCTTCGATCTGTCTCACTATCCTCTGAAACCTCATCTGTCTCACGCTCCCTCTCTACAACTTGCTCCATTGAACTGACAGGAGCTAGAGAAGAGTCGACCGACCGAGTTGAGGAGATAGAAAAGAGGCGTCCAACCATGGATGGCCTCTTTTGAGTCGACTCAAAAGAGGCGAGCACATGGAGGGCAGCATGAGTTGAGGGCAGCGCATCAATTAAGGGTTGATTTATAGTTTTGAGGCGCCTCAAAACTTGATTTTTGCTCTCCCACCGCGTGCTTGCTCTCCCACCTTCCTGCTCCTCCGCGTGCACAGGATCTGGAAACGAGACGTGCAGATCCTGCGTGAGTTTAGCTTTCAGATGGATGGCAGCATGAGTTGAGGGCCGCACATCAATGAAGGGTCCCCTTCCGCCTTCCACTCTTCCAGCTTGGGCTCTCCGTTTCTCCCACAATCCTCTCCCCTTCGTCTTGCGGACAGGAGCTGGAAGCGGGACGAGCAGGTGTTGCGTGTGGACGGCAACATGACCCAGGGGCAGCGCAGCGACGCGTTCGAGCGCTTCCAGAAGGAGAAAGGCCCGCGCTCAGCGGTGATGGTGGCGGCAGTGAGGGCGTGCGGCCTGGGCATCGACTTCACTGTGGCCTCCAGAGTCGTCATGCTGGATGCCCTCTGGAACCCTGCGTCTGATCAGCAGGTAAGGCTTGGGTCAGTCAGGTAAGGAGTGCAGCTTCGCGTGCAGCTGTGATGGTGGCGCCCGTGAAGCGTGCTTTGAGTCGCCTCAACCTCAACACAATCAGCAGGTAAGGCTTAGCCTGTCAGAAAGAAGGACTTGAAAGACAATGCGATGCTGCAATGCTGGATGCTGTGTTGGGACCCGTGTTTTCCAACAGCATTTTCCCCTCTTTCTATTGCCCCTTTCACCCTTCTCCCTCCCTCCCCCCTCCTCCCCCTCCCCTCCCCTTCCCCAATTCCTCCCCAGGCCATCTCGCGTGTGTGGCGCACGGGACAGCAGCGGCGTGTGCATGTCTACCGGCTGTTGGTGGAGGGGATGGGCGAGATGTACAAGCTGCGGTGTGCGCAGGCCAAGCAGCGCCTCTCCCACGTCATCTTCCACTCCGCTGCGGGGGGTGCTCTTGCTAGTGCTGGTGAGTACCAATGCACCTCGATACTCTTTCCAGCGTGTGTAATGCTGCCGCTGATGGAGAGGATGGGGGAGATGTACAAGCTGCGGTGCGCGCAGGCCAAGCAGCGCCTCTCCCACGTCATCTTCCACTCTGCTGCTGCTGCTGCTGCTGCTGTTGCTACTGATGGTGAGTACTGAGTCACTTCCACTGTGCTGGGCGGGGGAGGGGGGGTGGATGCTATCACTTCTGCTCTATTCCTGGCGAGCAGTGCAGGTCTGTAACAAGTGCTCTTCTCTTTTCTTCTGCCCATTCTCTCTTGGATCACGAGTGCCCGTTACAAAATTTTCATTCATAACTGCTTCGTACTCCACCGACGTAACTGATTACCTGGTGCTGCCATCTCTCTCCCCAATCCCTCCATCTCTCTTCGCTCCCACACCATTCACCCCCCTTCCCTGCTGTTTCTCGCTCTTTCAACTGCAGGCACATCCTCCTCCCCCAACCTGAATGACACCTGCCTCGCAGACCCCATTCTCCGCCACCTCCTCACCCTACCCTCCACCAATCCTCAATCTAACTCCACTCACACCGTCTCCTTCGGTCCTCCCTCTTCCAGCCCTCGCTTTGCTCAGCTTCATTTGTCTCCTGATGCCTCTCAGTGCCACCAGCCACCGCCACACACTGGTGTGTCTGCCACTGAGAGGAGCGACAACGGCTCGCAGCTGTGTGGGCAGCACCCATTAGCCTGTCTGGGAGGTCACTCTGACTGCGATGGGCGGCGGCTAATTTGTCGGGTTGAGTTGCAGAGGAATGGTGTCGCAACCACTGTACATATAGAATCGTAAAAGGGTGTACCAGTTGTATATAATTACACTAATTGCGTGTGGGATGCAGGAAACTAACAGCATGATGGAGCTATATTTAGATGATTGCAAGATGTGTGAACCAATGCAAGGATGCTTTATACATGAGATGTTAGTTATCAAGAACATGGTGAGCGTAGGCAATTTAGAGTGGGAGTAAACCAGAGTGGTTAGAGGCTCTTGAGAGCTCATTCAAAGGTACATGATAGTAGTGGTTTAGCGTGCTATGTTTTAGAAGCAAAAGATATGGCCATAAAGCATATGAGTAAACGACTGAGGACTTTCAGGTTATCATGGACAGTAGAGGTTGTTGGTGCTGTTGCCCTGCTGCCATCTGCCCAGATAGATGAAACGATTGAGAGCTGTCGCCACGTCATTCTGCGAAAGAAGTTCAAATTGCGAACAGCTTCCCCCGTCGCCAAGCAGAGCGACATCTGTCGTCGTACGAAATGGAAGCGGGAGCCGTACGGCGTGTAATAGTGAAATCCGTTACGAAGAAGTGTCACGACACGAGCACTGGACCTGCCAAGAGCACTGGACCTGCCGAATAGATTCGGGTTTTCCCAGTGGTCCTAAGGGTAACGGGAGCTGCAAACGTGTGGCTAATCGGTCAGCAGACAGCAAGAAGTTACTGTCGGCAACAGCTCCTGACGCTTAGCGCACTGTAGCCGTTCGATGAAGGGTTGTGGACTCATGGTCCATGGGCCATGGTTGTTGAGGAGGAGCCGAAGCGCCTGGGGACAATCGAGAGGGCCAATGGGAGTGCTGCGAACAGTCAGGTTCAGGGCAATGCTGGAAAACCACCTGAACTTCTCTAATCCAAAATCACAGACACTGCGGGCGCATTCCGGACTCGTGTTATCTGGCCTTCCGTTCATTTGCCCCATACCGGAAGACCCGAAGTTCCAAAACGCTGGCAACATTGACGGGAAGTTGGGATGACACGAGCACGGAATGTGCCCTGCGTACAAGAATGCATTCGTTGGTTTCGAACAAGCATTCCGCTCCTACCTCTCGAATCATTGGTCTCCAATAGTGTTCTGTACACATGAAGTCCTTTTCATGCCCAGTTGTTTTTCGAGCGGCTGCTCCAAAGTTGAGCGCCTAACTTTCACGGGCTAATTGGGCCAATATATAGGGTAGTCTGGTTACCTCGTTGGCATTCTCCAGTCTAAAGCGGATGACCATTTATTTGTTGTGCGTTCCTCGCGCAACAGTGTAAGGTTTCAGAACGTCCCGTCTGCATGTTTGGAGTTCTCAGATTCGGTAACTGTTGCAGATCATTGGGCCTGTGTTGTTTTGGCCGTTTCCCGTGCGTTTGGACTAATAGGCCTGTTAATAAAAACATGGCATTTATTGAATGAGCAATTCACTGGACGTCAGGTGTATCAGGGCAAAACTGACCACTTTTAGATCTTAGACGGGCGGATCAGATGCAACACCTCCACACACCCCCTCAACCCAGGCTGCCCGAGTTCCTCCACACATGGAAACATGTGGTCGGCTGGAGGCCAGCTTGCTTATCTTGCTGGCCACCGCAACGAACATGCAGGTCATGCTATCCTAGCCTGATGAAAACCAGCCGCAAGAAATTCGTCAACTAAAGTCAGTTCCCATTAGTTCTGAGACACTGACAAGACGGATCCGCCGCGGAATATTGTAGGGCACGGTGACGACTGGTCACGGGCACATTGGCCTTGTTTCTTCATGTGGCCGACGCATCGCCCTCACAAGTAGTTATTCTTACTAACTCATTCTTGCAAGAAAGCTGAGCCTGCTTCATCGATCAGACATACAGCCAATCCGAATCCACGAGGCGCCATGGTCCACATACGCGGTCACCGCTTGCGGCCCGCCTCTCTTTCACGTGGCGGTCTCCATCTTATGCTCCTAACACTCTTCTTCTGTGCGCGCGCGCGCGGCCATAGCTACTCAATTAGTCTCAGTCGGAGCGTGCCGCAGCGCCATCGTCTGCTGCCGCTGCTTGCTGACCTCTTTCAACAACAGTTGAACGGACGGCAAGGGGACGGGCAGGAGGAGAGACTGGTTGTCACGCTTGACGGTCAAACTGACGGCCAAATAGACGGCCGACAAGAAATCCGGCAAAGCAACCGGCGGGATGAAATCCATGGGAGCGGCAGATATAACGGAGTCGCGGAGCTATCTGGGGATGCCGCTAGTGGCAGGGTTGGCGGCATCAACGGGAACAGCGACGACGGCAGCAGCAGTGCGGGAGTGAAGGGAGAGAATGTTACGCTCCCGCATCGGTACTCGTTATTGGACACTTCGTTATCGGGTACCAGCACGATGACGACGTCGACAGTTTCTTTCGTCAGCAGCAGCATGACAGTGTACTCGACGAGCACTGCGCGTAAGCACTTCCCCTGTAGTCACACAGGGACTCGAGCAATAAATCATCACATTCCTTTTTCCTCTCTTCCTGTGAGAAAGCCACTCCTTTCTGCCGCTGCCGTTCTTCGCGCCTTCTCCCTTCTCCACAACCCCGTCCACGACGAGTCGCAATCAGCCCCCCCCCCTCAATCGCTCCTGCATCCTTCCGCCACGAGGTGTCGCGATGTGTGCCTCTTCCGATCTCCCCCTAGTCCATCCTACTTCTATCGCCGCCCACCCACCCCTTCCCCATTCCCCAGCCTTTCCCCCCCACCTCTTCCAACTTCCCCCCCTTCCCCTTTTCCCCCTTTCCCCCTTTCCCCCATTCCCCCATTCCGCACCCCTTCATTGCTCCGCTTCTCGCCACTCGTCTATCACGGCCGTTCCCCCTTCTTCTCCAACTCCACTATTCCTTCTACCCCCTTCCTCACCCGCGTCCCATTCCCCCCTCCTCTCGCCTCTCTCCCCCCCCTCGCCCCCCTCCCCCCCTTTCCCCCTCCCACACCCTCCTTGTCATCCCCACGCTCTTCCCCCTCCAGTCGCCACCGAGTCGCCCTGCTCGCCGCTTCTCACGGCGGTCAAGATCTCCGTGTCGTCCGAGGAGGACTTCGCGCAGCGGCTGCAGTACTCCCCGCGATCCACGGTCATCCTCGAGCTGCAGTCCGACATCGCGCTCACGCGCGGGCTGCTCTTCAACGCCTCCTTCGCCTGTACCATCCTGCGCTCCGCGCGCGCCGCGCCCAACGGCGCGTCGCTCTCGCTCGCGCGCACCGACGAGCCGCTCCTCCGAATCTGGAACACGAGCAACGTGCTCGTGCACGGGGTGAATTTCCAGCAGCCGTTCACCGCCGTGTCTGGCGTGTGCGCGAACATCCCTAACATCGGCATCGGGATCATCTGCCCGACGATCTCGATCTACGGGTGCCATCACGTGCAGGTGGTGAAGGGGACGCTGTTCGGGCGGATCGACGTGTTTCGGAGCGTGGTGTCGCGCATCGACAGCATGAAGGTGACCGGCGTGTCGGACTTCGACGTCACGAACGGCGCGATCCGCGTCGCGTTCTGCGGGTATGGGCCGACGCTGGAGCCGTCGTACATCGCCATCACCAACAACGAGGTCTATGGTGAGAACTCTTTACTCTGTCCCTGCCTCCTCACACATCCCCTCCCATCCCTTCTCTTCTCTCCCCACCCTCCCCAACCCCTCTCCACCTCCTCCCCACCCTCCACCCTGCACATTCCCCCTAACCCCCCACCCCCCCACCTTCCCCCCTCCCCATTCCTGCTCCTCAACCACCTCCCGCCCTGTTTCCTCTTGCCGGGTACCCAAGCCCTTGCCTGAACCATTGCCTTCTCTCCCGAATCCTTCCCGCTGCACTTCACGCTCTTCTTTCTCCCCAGCTAATTGCCATGCCATCCCCGCTCTCCCCGATCAACCTTACTTGATCCCTCCCTCCTGTTGCGAATTGCAGGTGTGCATACGCCTATCGTTCTCTACCGTGGCGCGGTGGGTGTAACCGTGCGAAACAACTACATCCACGACTTCCTTTTCGCGGGGATTCGCTGCGGCGCTGACGTCAGCTTCCAGGGGGACTGCATGCTGACGACGATCTCCAACAACCTTGTTGTTGCGACGGCGCGTAACATGAGCGGCGATCAGGACGCGGCGGGGATTTATTATTGTGTACACTGGTTTAACCCAGGAAATGTAGCGGAGTGTAACTATATCTACAACGGCGACCACTGCTATTATTTTGATTATGTTTCGTCTGGAATCACGGTGCGCGGAGGGGCGTGCATCGGCACTTACGATGGCATCAAAGTCAATAATGGAAAATGGTGAGTGGCCTTTGTCAGGCGGGGCCAATGTTATTGATGTGAGTGAAATTTGATTTGTTCCTTTATCTGGACCCACGTCACCCACCTAGGCCTATGTAACGTCCTTCTTCACCCTTCCCGTGTTTTCCTACCTCTCACCATTCCAACCAATTGTATCCTTACTGTTTGCAGGAACTTTGTAGAGGATGTGATAATGAAGAATGTGCCGGGAATGACGGGGTGGTTTACGTGTTTAACCCCCACGCTCAACAACTGCGCCATTCGCCCGGGCACGTACTGGGAGTCGATGAGGAGAAAATACTATGACACTCCTCTCTGGAACAATGTGAGTGGTGCAGTCTTTATGTTTGTATTGAGGCGGCACAACATACTCTAACACACCTGCAAGGACATTTGTCTGGACAAGGCCATCAACGATGACCCCTGGAACATCGAATCAACGCTCTCCCCTCTTCCTCCCTCGTTCCCCCCACATCTCTCCCCCTCCTCTCCAGCTCTGGCCATGGATGAAGGACATCTGCCTGGATAGAACCATCAGCGGTAACCCGTGTAACACCGCAGACACCCTCTCTGCGGCCCAAACCGGCTCCTGCAGCGGCCTGCCCTCCGACAATTTCCTGGACCTCGTACTCATTAATAACAAGCGCAACACCTGGTATAAGTACTGTGAGAACCTCACCACGGTAGCCAAGTTCAACTACTACAAAGTAACCAACGTTACGGACGGCAACACGCTCGGATTCGCGAGCTTTTCGAACGATGATCTGGCGGTTGGCGCAAGCTCCCCATTGGTCGTTGCGAAGCCGAAATTCAAGAGCTGCTCGAGGGGCAGCGTGGGCCCAAGGAGAGTGCTGGACGTGTTTTACTACAGCAACTTCAACCAACCGGAGCCCGACACGTACAGCTTGGTGCAGTCAATGGGCACAAGACACATCCAGGATTCGT